AGTAAAAAATTCAACCGAAAATCAGTGAAAATGGACAGTTTTCATACTGATGCAAGTTGACGATTACTTCAAAAGTATTTAAAATAAATAAAAGGCATAACATATCAGTTTACCATAAACCTTTAACAATTTTCGCTTATCACCTGTGGGACAAAATACTTTATCTAAAACCAACAAAAATTACAAGTTCCATCAATAGAAATCTATCTACAATTACTCTCTCTATATAGAAAGAAAGGATAATTTCTGAAAAATCTGTAAATTAAACTAATACCAGAAAAATGAAGTAGGCATGAACCTATTTTTATGTTTTGATATATTGAAAGGATGTTTCAGAATCTCACTTATATATAAGCTTTTAATTTGACATACTTGTAATGTTGAAGACAAGAAAGGCTATTTTCCTTCCAAAATGCCAATGAAATTTGAGTTACAATGTATTGTTCAGAAACAAGATGAACTATTCAGTCAATTTCAACGAAATACCAACAAATAAAAATAATTCTCTAAAACTATTTTCCCCTAAAATCTATTCATCTCTATGTAGAGAAGGGTGAATTTATAAAATGATAAAACCAGATTCAGGAGTGAAGAACAGTACAAGATACTTACAAATTCCAGATTGAAGATTTTTTCTTTGTAGGAGCTAAATCTGGGTGTTCTCTTGAGGCTCTTATCATTTCTGTCCACCTAACAGCTTCTTGTAATTCCATGAGGCGTTCTTTATATTGATTGCGTTCCATTAGAACTCTTGCCATTTCTACTCTCGTGAACCGTTTTCTCTGAGCCATGGGGATATCATCCTGAAATAAAGTAATGCATTTTTATTGCAAATGTCTTATAAAATTTAAATAAAATAAAAACTTATATGACCTCTCTGGTTGACTTGACTAGCTAAACCAACCACCAAGAGGGTGACTTTTCCACAAATACTGCAAGTGTGTTGGTGTCCTAATAGCTCTGAGACAGATTCTATTTCTCCTTTCTTAATGGTGGACTTTTTATTGGAATGCTTAATTCTCTTTTGCTCAAAATTGTTGCAGCATTCCCAAACCTTCTGCAGCCTGATCTATCTCCAGCAACAGTTTCCCCAGTCTTCAACATTAACCCAAAGAGTTTCTCTATGCTGGCTATATTTGTGTGATGAATGACTAGTGTCTGGTGTACAAGACTGCCAATTGAGATGGATCTTTTGTGTGTGTGTGTGTGTGTGTGTGTGTATATATATATATATATAAAAACAAATTACATAAGATGGAATTTGTCATCAGAACTAACAAAAAAACTAAAAGGTCACTATGGAAATGCTGCTACTTAAATTGAAGTGAATTATTATTTTTTATATCAATGTTTTCTTTTAGGTGAATTATTAAGACACCATAAATATATTTATATATATATATATATATATATATATTTATTAGATGATGTATTGAAATAGGCTTTATTATAAAATTCAGGTTCTGACATGACTTACCACAAATAGAAGATTTCAAAAAGCCCAGCTATATAGTCTACTTTGACATTAGATTTTTTTGTTAGCGATTGTCACAGCAACACCTTCATTCATGGATAACTTACCAGGTATTTTGTGCTCAGTAAAGATATTCAAAATGTAAAAAAGTCCTGCATTTATATATTTTTATCTAAGTGTTATGAAATGTAAAGGGATATCATGTTTAATGTTTGGGTTCCATTCCCAAGCTGCTCCATTTTATAGATGCTATATACAAATTATATAGCCTGTACTCCAAAATCCCCAAAAATCTGAAAACAGAAGCATTTCCGGTCTCAAGAATTTCAGATAAAGGATTCTCAACTTCTATTTCTGTGATATTGTGACCAATCTCACAACCTCCAGGTGTTGTCAAAGACTTGCAGTAAACAAGTTTTTTAGCCTCGGTATGTTGATGCTACTGCTCATCAGCCATTAAACTCTGTCTTCAACAATAGTTAGGCACAATGATACCTACAATTTGCAGGGTTCAAGATTAATATCAAGAAAACCAAGATCTTGCAGCAAACTGCAACCTTGTTCTCACATACATTTCTTGTGTGGTAATGCAAATCTCAGAAATTTGAACATGTTCACATATCTTGGCTCCATGCTTGCCAGTAAGGATTCAGCATTGTATTGTACCCTACTTACATCGGCAGCATTTGGACAGCCTTTCAAAAAGGTCTTCTGAACAGGAATCTCACCAGTAAAGACTAAGGTCACCATCTAGAAGACAGTATATGTTTCAGCATTTATACCACTAAAAATCCTAGTTACATACCATCACCATTTGGAAACACTTGGATGATTTCGCATCTTGCTTACAAAGAATCCTCAGAACATTGGTAGGATAAGGTAACAATGTCAAAATTTGGAAGCATTCAAAGTTAATGGTGATCAAAGCCATGCTTGTCAATTGACTGGCCACCCCATTTGCATAACCATGAACCAATTTCTGTGATATGATTTCTTTTGTGAATTGGAGTTAGGTGAAAGGGATGTCAGTGGTCAGTACAACACAGGGACTGTTACCAGAATCATCCTGAAAATATTTAGTCAATTAGAAAAGTTGGCTGGTGATGAGGCCAGTTGGTGACATGTTTGCATAGAAAATGTTCAATAAGTTGGTCCAGCAAGCAGAAGAAGACTGTCAAAGACATCACACACCCCAGGACCTTTTCAGTAGCTCTACGTGCAAATATTCCCCCATGTTGGTCTAATCAGAACACATTCATCACAAATATGACAATGAAATCATTGATATATGTGCTTATGTGTGTGAGATAACAGTTTCTAGTAGCATAGAAAATAACATTTTTAATAAAAAACAAAAAAAAAAGCTTCCATAAATGAGGAGTGCTATATATAAAAGAAAAATCAAGAAGTATAAACAGTCAATTGATGATATCCCCTGACAAATGAATGTCGTGGTTCTCAGAGGATCTGTCTACAAAATTGTAGTTGGGATGCTGAAGGTAACATCAATACTTTTTACTTGTGTGTGTGTATATATATATATATATATATATATATATATATATATATATATATTTTTTTTGATTTCCCCAGAAATGTTATTAATGAAATTATTTCAAAATTTAAATTACTGTTGCATATAGTCATTTTATCCATATTGCAAAAACTTTTTCTAAACTTACATAAAATTTTGTTATGATTCGAAAAAATGTTTTTTATTTGATTGCATACAACAGAAAAATTTTATTTTTGATATTTTAAAGTTTCTTGTATTATTAAGTCATCATTTTTATTTTATCAAAAGACAAGCAACCATAAGAGTTTGTATAAAGTTTTGCTGACAAGCATTAAATGTTTCATAAATTTGGTTGTATTTATGAATTATACAAAAATATTTCTAGATTTAATAACAAAAAACATAAATGTTAGCAAAGAATTTCAACATATAAAAATAGATATTGCATAAATAAATCTCCAGTTAATGATAAAATACAGAATTGAGCTGAAATAATTGATAGTTCTGATATACAAATTTCTAAGAGCATGAAATATGGATATTATCAATCAAGTAAAATATCAACTTAAAACAAATTGCAATTTACCATATTAAATTGTTAACAAAATACATAATTTCTCAGTACATAAATTCAACAAAAATAATTCAAGAATAATTTCTAAAAATATTTTATAGTTACAACTCATAAATCAAAATGTACTTAATGATCTAATTATTTAAATTATCTTTTACTTATATTCTTACAATATAAAATGAAAAACATACATAAAGCTGTATATTTTTTTAAAATAATGCATGAATATTTCAAAATCAGATATACTGTATTTAAGAAATAAATTTTACTTACTTCCTCATCAGCTTGAGCAATTTGTGATTTCTTTTCCAGTTCTTCCTTAACTTTCTTTAAATTTTCTTCTAGTTCCGAGATGCGCTGCATTTGACGAGATTTCACAGTTTGGAGAGAAGTTACTTCTTCACGATTGATTTCTAATTCACTGAAAAATCAAACATTTTTTGTTTTTAAGAATGTACAAATACTTAAATAAAAATATCAAAGAATCAAATTAATCTTCTAAATTACTTTATATCTGAAATTTTAAACATACAATTAAAAATTTTAAAACTTTCAAAATAAATTTTTTAATTGTTGATAATTTAACTATTTCTTCAAATTTTCTAAAACACACACATTGTATTAATTCATGTCGTGTTTGTGCAAAAAAAAAAAAAGTTATAATTTTAAATACAATTGCTAAAGAAAAATAAATCAACTCTAACAATACAGAATAAAATTTTAAAATGCATTAAAGTAAATTAGATATGAGTAAAATTTTGTAGATATTTTTATACATTACTCACCTGGTAAGTTCATCAACCTTTGCAATAAGGTCATCTTTTACAACATTCAGTGCATTTCTGAATAAGAAAAAAAGAAATTTAACAACCAAATCCCAAGTTAAATGAAATTAAATCAGCAATACCTTGTGCTGACAAAATAGTGAAAATAAATTCAAATCCATTACTGTTTAGAAGCTGATTTAAATATTAAAATTATTAGATTTTTTTTTTTTTTTTTTAATTATCATAAATGGAGTTACTTTATGGATGTATGAAGTGGGTAAAGAAAAAGTCTCAGCCCAACCCACTTTCCCAAAACTAGTCAAATGACCAAAAAGAAATTATTTTGAAATTCCTTTTTAGTTGGGTTGAGAACTTTTCAGCACTCCTTCACAGCAAAAATAGGTTTTCAGTTTAATTCTCATATTTCTCAATAATGGACTGTTACATTTTTATTAAAAAACAAACTTTTTGGCTTCAAATAATTGTATATATTTATATATTATTTTTAATATATAATTATTTTGAACTTACTTAGTTGCCAATAATTCAGTGTTTTCCAAGATTAGGTTTTCAAGTTCCTTACCCATACCTGTAAAAAGACAAAAACATTTTCAATATACATGTTTTATCCATAAGAATACAAAATGGATGCAATAACCAAATAAATAAATAAATAAAACTTATACAAGACACAAAGCATAAACACTGGGTAAAAATATCTATCACAGGGTACACTGTAATAATATTAGACATAATAAAACTGAAAGAAAAACCACAGATGAAAAGAGGAAAAACAATTAAGGGGTGGTAAAATCTTCCTGTTTGTGATTAACATTTTTAAATTTTGTTCAATTATACTTTAATTCAGAATAATTCCAATATCTACTTGGCATTATCTTTTAAAACTGTATAATTTTTTTTTTATTTGTAACCCCCTGAAATTTATTGTTCCATTACAAAAGAAAACATTCAAGTCCAGAATAAATATCCAAATTACTAATATTAGGATTTTTTAAAACAGAAAGTAAATTAAAAAAGACAAAATTTAATTTCAAACACTTTTATTTAGTAGCTTATGACTATAATAAAAACACTCCCAAAAGTAAACATGTTTAAGATCCTAAGATGGGAAATTAAACTTCATGACAAGAATGGTTTATTGATATCCACTTAGCACTCTTTACATTTAGATTAATATTAAAATATTTCACATCCCAATGAACATAAGTCTTTTTTAACTAATCTTGTGATAAATGTAAGAATTTAAAAAAAAATATTAAGCACTAAAATGTCTCAATTCGATCACATTAAAGATAAATTCAAGTAATACTTAGATTATATGCAGTACAACTAAATATCCAAGTTACTATAATATCATTAACTATTTATATTTTAGATACTAAAATATTTGAGAAGCATTTATTTTAACTAAAATGCTTAAAATAATAATGTAATGAACAACCTTAGGCATATTTTATAATTATGCTACATTTGCTAAAAAATAAATTTACTAAATACTTAACATTGCAAAACAGAATTTGCATTTGATAAATTTTGTGAGATCAGATATTAAAAACAACAATGCATGCCATATTCAAAATCAACATTGAACAAAAAAATAAATAAATTAAAAATAAAATAAATAAATCAATCAAAAATAAAACCATTTTAAAGTTAAATTTTTAATTAAAATCTAATTTTGGAATTCTTAGGAGATATTAATATTTATTTTTATAATTTTACACCATTAAAAAGTTATAAAAATTCTAATTTTCCAAAAGAGCATGTATTATCCAAAATATAGATCACTATTTAAAATAATGCATCATAAACATTTAAACCCTATTTAAACATTTATTAAATTTTTATGCCATTTCAAAGATATTAAATATTTTACTGTGAATAAAAATAAATACAAAAGGAGATGAATACATTTATTTGCTTTAGAGTTTACTACCCCTGACAAAAAACAAAAAACTTATTTAAAAATAAAAATAAAACCTAGAACCTCTTCCAATAGAATAGCAACAACAAAAGCAAAGAAACATTTTAAATGAAATTCTGTAAGGTAAAGGGAAAGCAGTCCAGGTTTATTTGGTCAAACGTTGAACTGAAATTTAGTGCTAGTTTTATGTAAATTAGCATATATTTGAATGAAGTTTTATCAAATAAGTCATTTCCTTTTTCATTACATGAGAGTAATTCATGAATTGTTATAGTAAATAAAAAATAAGAAATACACTCATTTACTATGCACAAAATATGATAAATATAAAAGAAAATATACATGAGCAAAGATTTGTTTTACATTTCAATGAAACTTCAAGTTTACTTAATGTATTTTGTATCTACTGATAATGATTATTTTGTACTAATCATCACCAAATTAAGATTGAAAATAATAGTGTATATAAATATTAAAATGTAAAATGCTAACACTAAAAATAGCAATAAATAATAGCTAAATCAATTCTTAAGTACAAAAATGGTAAGTGAATTTTCCAGTGGTTTGCCAAATGCTTACCAGTTTGAATATTTAGGATATTTTTTTTTATTTGCTTCATTATTATCAAAGTTGAAATTATTTTTATTCTAACTTCAGCAGCCCATTCTGTAATTAGTTACATTTATTTAGATTTTGAATTTAAAAGATATTTAGTTTTAGTTACATGGAAACAGCTTAAGAACAATGCAATTTCTATAGAAATTGTAATTTTCTTTTAAATAAAATTTTATTGAAATAGTTTTATTTTAATTTGCATAAATATGTATGAAAATGAAAATCAGCTCTAAAACCCACTTTTCCACTTCAATTTAGTTTGTGATATTTGCATTTTTAAGACGCCTCCATATTACAGAATTGAATTAAGAATTGAATTTTAAAGACTTAAATACTAATGCAGAATAATTACAATAAAATATACAGTAGACATACTTTCTGGTAAAAGATCACAGTATATTTTCTAATTTTACATCACTTAAATAATTTCATTTGAAAAATACCATTTTTTTCTACATTGTAGGTATGTTTGAATGTACCTATACTGAAATATAGTAAAAACTTGGGAAGGGGGTGACAAGCTGTAAGTAAAGATACAATGATTATGAATCATTATTTTATATGCTCAATTTATAGATCACATATCAATGAAGGAAAATAAAACTGCCACACCCTGAAGGAAAATACCAATTCTGATCTGACTAGGCATATTAATTGTAGATATCTGCATAAAACTTTCAAATGTATTTGATCACTTTGTGATGTAATAACACTCATACTTGTGTAATCTTTGTATCTGAGTTTTTAGATGTTTAGCCTGCTATAAGATTCATTTGTGGCAAAAGGGTTCAGTACAATTATAGGTCTCATGCCACATACATCCATGTGCTACTTGTGTAACATTAGAGTCATTTGATTGTGAACCTTTGAGAGGCTTGGATGATCATTTCAAAGAATTTCTGCCCATGTTGGATGTAAGAGTTGTACTTTGATGTTGGCAACAGTGATCACTTGTAGATCAGGTGCTAAATGATCATGTATTATACATGCTTGTCAAGATCAAAGCATTGTAAATATTGGATTGGTTTGTTTTACAGCATATCAACCCACTGAGTCATTTAAAGCTGAAATTGAATTTTTTTTTTTTTAAATAAAATCTTGTATTTAAACAGTCGAAAAATTTTATTTTAAATAGTAAGACTGATGTTATGTTTTCTTTTTCATTATATTTTTTAAATCAGTTTAATTTCTCTTAAGAACTGAAATATATAAAATGAAACTAATTTGAAAAAGGTCTTTTAAGTTTCTTGTTTGATAGTATTTTAAAATGAAAATTGCTGCAGTTTATCAGTATGTGTTTTATTGTGAATGGCTCTTGGCATGCCACACATACCAGATCATTGTAACGATAGCAATGAGAAACCACAATGTATTCACAGTAGAAATCAGAGCAAATGTGAATAAAGATGTGTTAATATGAACAAGTGGAAATCATTTATTTGCAGGATTACAAGCATGCATTTCTCAAACAAGACTTCCACATATGTCACAACACTATTATGCATCGGTCCATATTTCTGATATGAGGTATTGTAACTATTTACACATTTACATTGTTTGGACTGTTGTCCTCATCTTTATTGCCACATTCACAATGTTTCGACCGTTATACACTCTGGCCTTATTCAGGATCTGTCTATTTCTGAAATGAGATATTGTAACTATTTACGCTATTTTTACATTGTTCAAACTGTTCTCATCTTTATTTTCAGTTTGAAATGCAAATATCAGCTGAAGAAGGCTGGAGCATATATCTGAAATGTTGTGGATGTGAGAATAAAGATGAGGACAATAGTCCGAACAATGTAAATAGTGTAAAAACTATTGTGCACATATGTATCCAATGGTGTTATGAGAGAATCACCTGAAGTATCAAATGGTACTCTTGTAGTATTCACTGATGAGAAAGTTTTATAATTATGCAATTAATTTACATGTGCAATGAGGAGTGACATTTTCCAGATTGTATTTGTTCAAGACACACAAGCTTGACTCTTGTCATCATGGTGTGTGGATGCAACGAGTTACAACTTTTGCTAACTTTTGAGGTTAGTGGAAAGAATATTGTCCAACCCATTCTGCAAATGGAAAGTTATGTACTGTTCAAACAGAATTTTGTTTGGCAATATGATACCTATGTTACTCAATATGCTCTGCAAGATGAGTAACAATATCCTGGTTAGAATAATTTCTTCATCTATGGGACCTAAGTCATTTAGTCCAACTATATCTCTCATTTGCACAAATGACATGGAATAATGTATTAAAGGATGGTATTTACTATTTGTGGAAGCATTATGCATCTATAAGTACAGGTTCAGATTTAAACCAAAAGAGGATATAAAGTCTGAATACTGTTGATACATATTTTTGTCTTGATCAATATCAGTCAGTTATGTGCCATGTGTGGTACACACTTAGGCGATCATGTATCTTTCAATACATGACTGACAAGGCAGATTTTTTCCCGCAGTAGACCAGTGCCCATCCAAAGCTATAGAACTCAGTCTGTCCTGCTATTTAGCCATAGCTATGGGGAAGAAGAGGATTCATAACTTTCCCAAGGGTATTAACCATGTAAGTGACTGTAATGGATTCGACTGGAATTCGAACTCAGCTCTCCAATTCCTCAATCCAAGCCACTATCCATTACTCCACCATTTTTCCTCCTTGTAATTACAGTAATTGATCAATATACAAGATCAATTACTGTAATCCAGCTATGTTACCTGTACATTTTATTTAGACTAAACTGAAACATATTCAGATTGTTAGTTTTATTTTCCATGTGTGTGTAAGCTTTTAGAAATATCAATTTAGGATATATAATAAAAAAAAATTTTTTAAATTAGAAATGAATTATTTCAAATGATTTGTAAATATTGTAAGATCCTAGTATATTTCCATTTATTAATCTCCCGCAATAATAATATGAAGTTGAAAATAACAAGTTCTACCAATGACTAGTTTTTATTCAGTTAGAATTGAAACCAATCAGTCTCTATCACAATCAATTAAACTTCTTTCTTTTTTTTTTTTTAAGTCAAAGCAGCTGTAAATTAGAAACCTTGTTCTTGCTCCAAGCTTGTTTATAATTTTACAAGAGTTCAGCAGCATAAAATGTACATTTAAAAAAATCTTCAAGAACATAACTTATTTATTAGTTGGTTCCCCAATATCATTTTAAGATTAGCATAAATTTTAGTTCAAAATGCTTTAAGAGAAATTGGTCACAAACACTATGCACATACGGATTAAGTTTTGAGTAGAATATCTGCAGTATTATCTTACATTTTACAATTAAATAATTTTTGCTTCAGTATAAAATAAATCATTAATGACAAACATGTTTTGATTATTCTGAAAAGGTGGAAAAAATTTAGTCATAAATAATTGTAGAGGAGGTTATTGCTTATATAACTTGTTTAATTACTATTTACATGAACAATTTCATCCAAAATTTTTATGAACATTAGAATTTTTTTCATATATGTATTTGTATTAAATAAGAAATTATACAAGTATTTTCCATTTAGAAGGATGAAGAAACTCTTAGCACAGAATATATTTTCTAAAGTACTTTATTGTAATTCTTTACAAAAAGCTAGTTTTCAGGTGATAAAGATCAAACTACAATAACTGAAATATATACATACTATTTTGCCATTTATATAAAGAATAATATGTCTTATCCTCCTGTAATTTCTTTCTTCTAAAATATGTATGAATATTTTAGTTGAATCATGCAAAAATAAGTAAGTTTTCAATGATTAGTATTAACAAGTTTAAAGTTTTAACAAAAAACTCATTAAAGTAAATAGCAAACTGAAGATGAAACAATTTGGCTTTGTATAATCTACATATAAATATATTATAAAATAATTGAATATTTAAAATGTCAATGAATGAAAATCATTAAAGTTTGTATTATATTCCATAAAAAAGTAAAAAAAAAAAAAAAAAAAAAATTTTAAAAACTTAAATTTTTGAGTGGAATTACAATTGGAAAACATAATTGAGAAAGTACTGTGGAAAAAGCTGAGCTGGGAATATAGTTAAAAGCATAGAGAATAACATGCAGATAGCTTAAAGTTAATATGGAAAGCATGTGCCAATAAAAAACAGGTTTATAAATATAGAAAATTAAAATTATAGGTATATATACTCCACAAGCCCGCCCCCAGCAAAAAAAAAAAAAAAAAAAAAAAAAAAAAAAAAAAAAAATGGAAAAGGAAAAAAAAAAAAAGAAAATGGAAAAGAAAAAAAAAATAGAAAAGAAAATAAATAGAAAAGAAAATAAAGGAAAAAAGAAAAGCCAAAGAAAAAGAAAACACATGTGCAGAAAATTCATGACAACAAGGTTTGACAAGAGAAGACCAAGTTTCTTTTTATGCACAATATATGCTACAGTGGAAAAGCAGTGTCATCAGAGATCAAAACAGGCAGTTGATTTATAATATTTCTAAGAATAATTATATAAGTTACACACCTTCAGTCAGTTAAATAATAATAATGATGATAGAAAATTTGTATTAAACTCTAGAACTATGTTTTAACCCACAAAAACCAATACAGATAACTGCACAATATGAACAGGTAATTTTTCTATAAAAGAAAATGAAAGGCCAATTTAGTTCCAATTGTCCTTGAGATTTTCTGTCATGTTTTCTTTGTATTAGTACAAATTGATTACAATGCCCAGAAAAATTAGTCATACAGCAAATAAAAATCACTTATAAAAAATTATCAGTCATGCACATCTGTCAAATGCACTTTCCATAATACATGGTAAGATGGAATGTATTGCTCAGTTTTAAGAGATGATCATTTCAGTTACAAGATAACCATGGCTGTTTAGTTGAAGAGAAAAATAAAAAATGCCTTATTTGGCGAGACATGAATTCACAGAAAATACTGGAAAATTTCATTGCATTTTTTTTCAACATCTTATTTCTTTATGAAAAAAATAAATCATACAAATTAAGTTTCTAAAATATGAAAAGTAAATAAAAATAAGAACTTCAGTGACATAAAATAAAGACTAATTAGTATACTGAATAAAAAGTAAATGTTAGTTAAATGTAATTTTTTTATGATAATGAATACACGTCAAAAATTAAAATATTATTAATCAGTATCAGTTATTGAAGTTAATGCAAAAAAAATGTGTTTTAAAACTTAATGTACATTAACTTATTAAGGGATTTGAAATAAGTATAAAATAGCAATGAATTGTACAAAATAAAAAAGTCACAAAGTAAACTTGCTAAATAAACAGCATTGATGCACAATGACAAAATGAAGATTCACAGGAATAACCAAACATTGATAGCATTTATATTTTGAAAACAAAACAAAAAGCAAAAACAAAAAAGATCTTGAAAATTACTAAATTAGTGAACCTGTCAAGCCTTGTTGCAAGTGAAACATATCCCCATTTACTACCCCTGAATATAATAATATTTATAATAATTATAATAATAAAAAGGAACATAACTAAAGCTGAAAAACTTGGAAGAAGGATAAAAAAAAAGCTAAAATATACAAGTGCTGAAATGCTTGAAGCAAACAACTTGAGACAAGCTTCTTACCGAAAAAGTTGTCACTCACTGATGGAAGCAGATAAAAGAAAAAAAGTTACAATTATTCATAAGCTCTTCACTGGGGAAATGAATATGTTAGTAAAAATTTTCATTGAGTAAAATTGCAACATTAAACAATTATAAATAAAAACAAATAGTAATTGTCAAACTGAAATGCAAGCCAAAAAAAATTAACATATGTATACATGAATATTATGACAATTTACATATAAAACAAAATCAAAAATAGTTTCTTGTTTAGTCTTTGAAAATGATGTGTATCATTTAATTAAATTCAGTTCATGATCTTATAAGTTCTCTTTAATAGCCAGATTTTGAATACATGTAAGATATTTTACAGTCTAAAATGTTCATTTATGGAATAAAGATTTAAGTCTAAATTTGACCACAAAATGCTACTATATTTGAAATATTAATTAATTTATAGCCTTCTTCCAAATAAATTTTAAATTGAAAAAATTTCTTCAATTTTATATTGTACAAATTTTAACTTGAACTTATTTTGTTATACTTACAATTTATTAAACATAACTCATGCATTTACTACTTGTTCACAACCAATTCACAAGCTTTTCTTTTTAATTCATGCATTCTTAACAGCTGAATTTTTAAAACTCAATTTTTATTTTTACAAGCATTTTTCACATATACTCAAGTATAGTGCAAGTTTTTATGATCACATATTTTTTTTTCAACACAAAAAAAAAAAATAAGGGGTCGCACTATACATAGATAATTTTTTGAAGAACTTAAAAATCATGTATTTTTAGTGATTGGTTACACAACACACAGGTAAATGTTTATCTGGAGGGGTTCATGAGAAAGAAATTCAGGTGTCACACTATACATAAAGCCAGCTTATACACAAGTATATATGGTAAGTATACTCAGCTATACAAGATGCTAACAAATGGAAATCCACTTTAATAGCAAAAAGTTTTATAAAATATTAAGTTTCACATAATGATGTTTGAAGCAATAAAATCATTCACAAGACAAATACTAAAATCAAAGTTCATTCCAAATTATATCTATAATGAAATGTGAAAGAGACAAGCAGTTCCAAATCAGTTGAGTGAATATTAAATATCAAGAACATGGGTAAGTTTAATTTCTATTGATTTGGCAGAAAATGATTACAGTGAACCCCCATCTATTCACATTTCAGCATTCGCAGTTTCTTTTTCTTTTTTTCATATGTACTTGTTATTCATGGAAACCCTGAATATTCACATGTTTTTCTGAAGAATATATTTAAAATATTCTTGTATTATTTTCCTGTTATTTAAGTGACTTAAAACATAACAGTCCATTTTTATAGTAAAAATTGGCAGAATCATACATCTTCTTAAACAAAAACATGTTTAGTGCTTGAGCTTTGTTAGGGACAGAGGCTGGGGTCTTAAAAGTGGCTTATGCTAAATGTGAGGGCATCTTCACAGTTCTGTTTTTAGAAAATGTTTTAAACTTTATATTTTATGTCTTATTACACATATTTTATACAGTATTTTCAATGATTGTATTGATCTATGCATAATTAAAAACGGTTATTGTACATATGAAAGAAAATTTATGCTAAGTGTATGGTCACCAATACTATTTTTCAAAAATGTTTTAGAAAGGGTCTGAAATGTTTCTAAAGTGTTCAGGATGAAATTTTAAGGTATATAGGGTTTTAATCAAAATAAATACTTATAAGCATGTTTAGGGAAGTTGCAAGTATTCATAGATTCTAACTATTCACGGCTGGTTCTGGTCCCAAACACCCGCGAATACAGGGGATTCACTGTACATATGTGTGTGTGTGTGTGTGTGTATGTGTTTATTTAGGCAGCAAATTATCTTTTAGGCATGTCTGATTAAATAAATTACAAACATTTTGTCTGCTTATTTTTAGCATTATCCTTTCATATTCACAAATATTTTTTCCATCAAATGATGCAAGAAATGCACTGTAAGAGTGAAAATCACTTATTTCCCAAGTACTTTCCATCTCTTTCTGAGATCATCATCAAGTGTGCCACTGCTAAGGCAAAAACTGTAGCCATCCATTACATTATCCATTATTTTCATATATGTCTGCCCCCAAAATTTTTTTGTTTTTTTTTTGTTTTTCAATGTACAATTATGAGCAACATTTGTATTTCATTCCCTTCCTCAACATATATGAATAAAAACATTTAGTTTTAAATTCTTTTAAAAAGGTCAAAAGGCATCCCATAGGATTTCTTTCCATTTTATCATTACACTATAATTTGTAATTATAATTGTTATATTTTCAGAATTTTGGAGCTTTATGTAACAAATTCACTACCAATTATTTTGGGATAAAATGTTTCATTTTCAGGTGAATTATTTTTTATTTGTTTTTAATATAGTAACTAAGAAACTGAGGTACCAGTGTAGTGGAGTTAATAATTGAACTCGTTTCAAACTCAGAAAGGCATAAAAAGAATCAAGATCAACATATAAACACATCTATAGTTGGTTTTTGAATGCTATGTTTTGGATGTGTTTATTCATCCGTGTCTAAAAGAGACACTTTCAGTAAAAACGTATATACACGTTTAAGCTGGGGAAGGGGTTAAGTCATTTACTATCAATGTAAACAGGAAGCAGTAAATACATCAGCATACAATAGAGAATACAACAATCTTTAAGCTTTGTACCTGCAATATAACGGTGTGTCAAAAGAAGTTTTTCCCTTGACACCACTATTATTTTAACTACCTTCACTACTTCAGCAATGTTCTTTTAAAAAATGATAATTAGAATTTTTCAGATTAATTACAAGAATAATTTTATATTTACAACATTCTAAAAATGCAATCCTCAAAAAATGTGAACCCACTAATACAATGTAATGTTTATCATTTATCAATTCATAAAGAAATATGAAAATATTTTTTTTAAATTTATAAAAAAAACTATCTAAACAAGAAAATTTAAATAAACATAATAATGAGTAACTGTAATAAAAAATTTTAAAAAATAAAAAAATTCTGGGCATTTCTTTCATTTGTTCATGTAAATATCATATTGTAGATGGTTTACATATTTTGATAGCTATGTAATTTTTTGAAAAGTTTTGAATAAAAAAGAATTTTCACATTTCTTTCTTTATGAAATGGCAAATAATAAGGCTTTTTAACACTTCCGCTGCTAACTACAGAGATCTTCGTTTTTCTTATCTTGCTCCAGCTGGCTAAGTACGGAAATCTACATTTTTTGCATACCGCTAGTATGAGTGTCCCATTGTGCCATCTATCGTAAAATCACAAAGGACAATGCTTCAAAAGATATCATGTGTATACCCATTACTGATCTGATAAGTCATTCCCAGGTATATCCATGAAAATGGAAGGCTGTAAAACACACTGGTGCCAGATTTCTGTGTAATAAAATATGTAGGTTGAAATTTGGCATTTTCTTTAAAAATGGCTGGCCGGATGGGGGCAGCACTGGGCAAATGAGTAGCAGTGCAAGTGTTAAAAAAATGGAAAATAATGAATATCACATTGTATATGGTTGACATTTTATAATCTTGTAAATAAACATTGCTAAGGGTGTGAGGTTAGTAAAAAAAATATTAGCATTGTGAAAAGAAAAAAAAACTCCTTGTGGTAGAGTGTTGTTTTTTGTTTTTTTGCAAGCATGAAGATTAAAGATTGCTAAGAATACAATAGTCAAATTGTGAAGAAAAATAACTTTAGAAATAAAACAAAGGAAAAAAAATCCCTAGAAAAAAACAAATAACAGTATCTTTAATAGAAATGTTTCCTGGTAAGACATTAAGCAGGAAACTGAAATAATAATTCTTAAATAAAATCTCCAATGTTAAATCTTTTAATATTGGAGACTATAGAATTACAAATTATATAAATATGTTCACATCTCACAATGACAACTACCCAGTGCTTTTTCAGTGGTTGGTGATTCCTCCCACACATCCTCAAAACTACTGCCAATAGGTACTCACCACAACTGAACATAAGCAACACCACAAATGGCACCATTTCCAAATTGCACTTATCTAGTCTTTTAACCCTAACAATTTTGCTTTTATCAAAGTCATTCAAATAGCCCCTTTCCTATAACTGCAGCATTCAACATATCAAAATGAAGTACTCAATGTTGGCTCACCAGTGTGCGTGTTTTTGCCAAAGGGGTATATGTGGAAGAAATATAGTTTTAAGGTATGCTATATTTATAGGGTAAAGTGCTCAATATCAGAGATAGAGCGTATGTAAATATAAATATAAAAGTGAACATTGAAGTCAACACTCACAGTGGACAAACGCATCAAGCCTGATGATTGCATTTAGCATGGAACAGTCTGTCACCTCTGAGGGTTCACTTCAATGTTCTTATATATATATATATATATATATATATATATATATATATAACACAAACCTTTGACTATGGCATATAAATGCTGAGACTATAGCTATCATTCTTACTACATTTTTGGGGTTTTTTTTAAACTATCAATATATATTCTTTTTCTAAAAAAGTGTTCATCATTATCCAAGATCAGATAATTATTAAATAAGGAATAGGAACTTGCTTTTCAGAAAATTGAAAGAAAGAGAGGGAGATGAGAGAAAAAGAAAGAATTAACTTGATAAATAAATGATTGACAACTGGTTTTAAAATTCAGGTTAAATATATCTACAATTAAACTTTCAGGAAAGTTGTATGTACAATTTATATATATATATATATATATATATATATATTTATTCATCCCAACGAATAAATAATCTTCCTCATTTAAGACAGAAGCAGATGCTGTTGAGTACTTTTCACCCCAAAAGACACTTTTTGGGGTTTTTGCCCAACAATGACTATATTTCTATTTAAAAAAAAAAACACATTATTCCAAAAAATTAAAAGCATTTGGTGTCCTAAAAAGTTAATTTAGTTTTTATTATTAGATGGCATGAGAAACATTTCATTTTAACCAATTTTTAAAAATATTGTGACAATTATATCAGCATACT